TTCCTCTCTTCTCTTCAGACTGATTTATTTCAAATGTTGTTTTAATAGGTGAGTTCCACTTCTTTTACTTCATTATTCTACACACTACACCCTGCTCTGAGAAACCGTAGGGATCTCATGGGAAAAGAGTTTCATCAATTCTTTAAACATGGAACAAAACAAAAGATCAATGTGAGCAACTTGCAACCATATTTATAAAACGTTCCTGCTGCAGAATGGGCCTGCATGCACCTCGTCACGAAACACTTCAATAACTTAGAAGGAATGGTATATTTCTTCTGGGTCTCCATATTCACTCAATGCTTTGCTCAAGGGCTGTTGTATTCAAATGCTTATTTTTGTTATGCTCTTCACAAAAATACAGCAAACTCTCTTATGTGACACCCACAAGAAATACTGAGCTGAAATGCATTATAAATTATGGCCAATAGATTCAAATGCCTGCTGCCACTTCCACTGAAACCAAAGAAGCCATGGTAGGACTGAAGACTAATCTGAATATCACCCAATTAGGTTTAAAGGCCTTAGTGATGATACAGAATTGAGATGTACACAGCACCTGTTGGTGATCAATTCAGGTTCAGTGCTTTCCTCGGCTGTTCTTCTCTAAGGGGTTTTATTCCGAAGCTTTCCTTGAGACCTTCAAACCATTCTCCCCTCTTTATAACACTTTTTGACATTCTCTCTGACTCTCCTTCGTCTTCCCCAGAGCCTCCTTGCATGAGTTCATCTTGTTTTCCACACAAAGCCTCCTTTTATCCACTGGTCTGGTGCCCACCTGTTGCTTCTGTTCTCCATATCCTCCCTGTCTTTCCCTTTTACATCAATACATTGAGCATCAGTCGGTGTAATTTTATCGCTGGAGGTCAATAGATCGCAATACTGTTGGTCGCAAGTAAGCGTTCCTGCTGGATGCCCTAACTTAATCTGTGGGACGTGAAACTGGTCCAGGTTGATCACAGGTAAAAATAAGATATAATTTTAAAGGAATAGTTCACCCCCCCAAAAAAGGAGCTTATGCAGCGCCTACGTCCTATGTCATTCACTGGACGCTCCGGTGAGAATAAG